GAGTATTCTGTCCTATAGAGTTGTTATGTTGTTATGAATTTGAATTATATTGTTTAATAATAATAACAATAACACATTTTACATAATCAACAGAATTGGCTAAAAATGTTTAACAAGCAAATTATCACATTAATTGAATTAATAAAATGCTTCTCAAATAATTTATAAACAACTTCTATACCAGACTACCAAAACCACGAAATTACAGCATAGATGAAAAAAGATACCTCATGTAAAAATATTTAATTTTTTGAAAAATATTTCATATTGAGATATATTCACTTGCACCCCTTTTGTATACTCTATTGAAAAGAATGTATTTATCATTTAAAAGTATATTAACAAAAAATTAGCTTATCTAAACATCTTCCTTTAATTTAAAACCTGACAAAAGTTAGAACAGTCTCATTTGGAAGGAACAAATTTAAAATTTGATTGTGAAAAAGGTGTTTAATAGAGTAAAGCAACTGCAGCCAGCACTGCAAATAAGTTTTCTTAATGAAACATATTAGAATATTTGCTGCACAGTATACAGATGGAAATGTGCAGCAAGCAACGCTAGTCATAAGTGTGTAACAGTTGTGGCTTTGTGAAATGTGTTGGTACCTCCCACAGTATGAAATACAGAACAATGCAGATGACTAATTTGAATCAAGGCAGTTTCACATGGCATGTCACAGTGGGAATTTTAATGATCTTCTGCAAGGGTTCTGTTTGTCTAAGACTCCCATTTTCTATTCTGTGATGTGTGGACGTGAACTCTGCTGAAGATAATATGAGGCTAATTATTAGCCATGTCAATGGCAATTCTTCTACAATGAGCAACCATCTTTCCACCCTTAAAAATCTTTCCTGCAAAAATGGCAATGAAAGTAAAGAGATTGCAAGCTGTTTCCTGGTTTCTTTGTTCAAAAATGTGTTTTCTTCCCTCAGAAGAAATTAGAAATCACTCAGTCATAAATAAAACCTTGGCATTTATTTGAACTGAAAACACAAGATGAGGAAGAAAACAGAAGTCTGAAGTGGCTAGGTGTGAAAGAGAAGAGCTCTTTGTAATTTTAGTTTAGTAAGTGAAACGTAAAACAGTAGGGATCCAACAACAGTTAGTGTTATGTGTCTTATCTAGATAAATATTTACTGTTGTGTTAGCTACATTTTTACTATAATTTAGCAGTCTTAAAGATTAGTTTGCACATTAACTTGATTGATGTAATCTTAATATTTTGTTAATTATTTCAGAAAAGTTTTTCAAAATAAAAATTTTTCTATAGAAATAGAGGAAAACAATTAAAATGAAGTTGCATCATAGTCAACATATCTATTAGTTTCACCAAATTTCACTGTAAGTTGAAGAGGACATTCTGATAGCATAATTCATAGGGAGCTGAGCTGCTCACCCGGAGGCAGCATCTCTACGGCTGTTCGAATCCACCAGTGGCTCAGACAGAGGAAGATGGGCAAATTCCACCCTCATGATTCATATATTCTTGGAAACTCACTGAAGGATCAGCTATGAGGTGATTTGGACTGAGTGATGGCAGTGAAGAAGGTATGATAAGATCTATATTACTACAATATATTTATACTTTGACACAGTGACTGAAATGATGAGCTTGAAAAGGGCGAACATGATGAAGATGGTACAGATAAGACAAATTTTTGATCTTTTGTTCATATGACCACTATAAATTGTAGTTGATTCCATGGCAGCAAATAGCATGGGATTATTTAGTTGAAATTAATTTAGTTATTTATTTTTATTTTAGTTGAAAAAAAATGCAAAGAGTTTACTTCTATTTTGCAATTGATTTACAAGGCAACATATTGTCCTTAATATATACAAGGATTAAAGTTGCTCAAAGATCCCTTCTGGAGATCAGTTTTCTTTCTTCTGGAATATTTTAAATACTCCCTCAGTTAATTGCTTAGAGGTATATAATATATATAACTTTAATAAACTAAGGATCCTACTTTAGTATAAAATATACTAAAATTATTATGTATGGAAAAATTTTTATGAAGTAGTTTTAAATTCATTGACCCATTATGTGATGTAAGCATTTTTTTTAACTTGATGGTCTAGTGGCAAGAAGCTGTACTATAATCCCAAAGACATGTGGTTCAAATCCACCAGCTGCTCTATGGGAAAATGGGTAATCTCCTCCTATGTGATTAACTGCCTCTGAAAATCCAGCAGAGAGTTAGCTATGGGTCACTTCTGACTCAGCAGTACACAACAACAACAACATCTGTTACTTTAGACCCAACCACATGGCCAGGTGAGAACATATAAGTAAAAGGAATCATTGAGGCTCCTTGCACCACCCTTAGCTCTCATGGTGGTTTGCTCTCTAGCTACCTCAACAGGGAACACTTAGTTCACCACTGATTAGTGTCTTCAACATTATCAACAGCTGTGAGACCTACATAAGAGATAGAGAGCTAACCAGACTGTGGAGAGATTGTCAAAAGCCGTAGCCTGACGGATCCCTGGAGAGCGAGCCTTGGAGATGGAGCCAGAGTTAAAGGATTTGCCTCCTGGAAGAGTTGTCTTGAGTCTGTCATGAGGCAAAGCTGGCTGGATGGTTGAGGAAACCAGGCACTTCTTGCATTTGTGTTGCAGGAATAAACCTGGACTTCATGGTATCATATCCTTTGCCTTCTCCCATCCAACCTGTTTCCTAATAAACCACACAAATGTAAGTAAAAAGAAATTATGTAAAGTCTATTGGTCATTTTGACAAATTTTGGACTCAGTGATTGTAGAAGTTGGTGCAGGAGCAAGGAGGTGAGGGAGCATGCCTGACCTTGTAGGCATTCAGTGTATGTGTGGATGCTGTTGATGGGGACAGTTTCCTTTTGTGGAGTTAGAAACGGTTGGAGTTGGTCATCCACACATTTTTCTTGTTCTTTTTACATATTATAGTTTAAAAACTGTGTTTTATAATCTACCAATCTTTTTCTTTCATAAGCTATTGAGTATTCTTAAGTTTTTGGCCTTGGAAATATAACTGGAGTGTAGAAAATATATATTGAGCATTTGAACAGTTCATAAGTAAAATAGGATAATGCTCTTAGGTAGATAAATCACAAAATTACCAAAAGGCAATTGTTAGCAACCCATAAAAACTGACAAATTGTTAAGCTACTTCTCTTATATCAAATATAATTGCCTAAATGTGTCTCTAAAACTTTATTCCATTGTTGCGGCTGTTAAATGCCATCAAGTAGACTGCAATTCACAGTGATCCTATGAACAATGGATCCAAACTTTGCCCTATAGAAATTGTTTTATGCATTGACTTTTAAAAAAAGATACACATGGTTTTTCTAAATATTAGAACAATGTAAGGGACTCATAAAAAATTACTAAAATTTTGTCAAACCATTCAAAAAACTCATTTTAACAAGTTACCAATAGAAACCAAAATTTGACTAGTTACTATTAAAGACAGTAGCAATTATTCTGGAAATTGATTTTAATAAAAAAGAAAGGTAGATACTAAAGAGAGGAGGTAGTGAAGACGTATTCAGATTTATGGATGATGAATTAGTTATGAACTAAAAGTTATTCTTTGTTATGAACTAACGTGAATTAGTTTCATGCCTTCAACTCTAATAATTCTGGATCTTGTAAGGACTCTAATTCCTTCCAATAATTTATGAGAAATACAGAGGTAGAGAACAATATTGAATAACACCATAGTGATACAATATGCAACACTCAGCACGTGAGAAACTCAACAATATAAAAATTCTACTCTTTTAAACCACAATAACAGCGTTTAACAAAAGAGAAAATATATAGAGTTTCAGAATTGATTCAGATCCTGAATAAAGCTTTAAGTATTATAAGATAATTAGTATGAGTCAAAAATCAAGGATGCTTTAGGCAGAATATTAAATGATCCAGGAAGTATTAAAAGAAGATAGAAAGAATATATTGAGTCATTGTATCAAAAGGAATTGGCAGACACAGAAGAATTTAATGAAACAACAAACGAACAAAGAGCCTATGGTGATGAAGGAAGAAGTTCAAGCTGCTTTGAAGAAAATAACAAAAAATAAGGCCCCAGGAATAGATGGTATACCAGTTGCCATATTTCAGCTAACATATGCTGCCATGGAATATTTTTCTAAGTAGGCATTACTCTTCTCTCAATATGCTGTACTGAGATAATCTGTGGTGGCTGTAATGCTGAAACTTGTGCCATTGGGCTATCAAATGCCTTCACAGTTACTCATGGTGGACATTGTGGTGGAGCTCCCAGCCTAAGATGGGTTTGGAAGCAGGAGTGGCATCCATTTCCTAAACAACATGCCTCCGGAATATCTATGAACTTCAATAAATGTTGATAGTTATAGAAATGCTTCAGGCCTTTCGTTTATAGGGTTGCTATGAGTAATGCTCAACTCTAAGGCAATCAACAACAACAACAAGAATATAAAAATTATCTTACCTATAACAGAAACGCTATGAACTTGGAGAAACAATGAAAGTCATACAAGTATTCCAGTCTTTCGTTCATAGGGTCACTATGAGTCATTATGACTTGATGGCACTTAACAACAATGAGATATCTCTGTTGGCCTACCAAGCCAAAGGTGGGTGATTTTAATATGCAACCCTCAGGCCTGGTTTTAATTGGTTTTGGTCAAACATTCTTCTGAATAGTATAGTACTGGTCTGTCTATCTGCTGTGCAGAGATGCTAAACACTGTGATACTGATGTGTCAAATGTGTTAATGGTTACCCATGGCTGACAGTGTTTGGTGGAGCTCCTCGATTAAAACAAGCTTGGAAGCAGGAGGGGCATCTACTTCCAAAATAGCTTGCCTCTAGAAACTCATGAACTTGGAGAAATGATCAAAGTTATAACAATTGTTCAGGTCTTTCCTTCATAGGGTTGCTATGTGTCATCTATGACTCAGTGGCACTTAACATGATCATCAACAACAACGTATAAATTTGACATTATTGAAAGTTTTTCTAGGGTGGAGAAGATTTTGACAACAGAATGGTCAACCATTTCATTGCAGAGTTCAAGTGCAAGCATAAGAAAGACATCAGTGAAAACAAGAGGGCTGTCAGACGCCTCCGCACTGCTTGTGAACGTGCAAAGCGCACACTTTCTTCCAGCACCCAGGCCAGTATTGAGATAGATTCACTGTATGAGGGAATCAACTTCTATACTTCCATTACCCGAGCCCACTTTGAAGAATTGAATACTGATCTTTTCCGTGGCACTCTGGACCCTGTGGAGAAAGCTCTGAGGGATGCTAAGCTAGACAAGTCACAGATCCATGATATTGCTCTGGTGAGTGGTTCTACCAGAATTCCCAAGATTCAGAAGCTTCTTCAGGATTTCTTCAATGGAAAGGAGTTGAACAAGAGCATCAACCCA